ACTCGCAGCGGACCTGGGAATGTTCCGAAGGTTTGAAGGCTTGGTTTCTTCTGTAGATCGTCTGTTGCGATCTGAGTCTGTGTGAGGGCCCTTCGGCTTGCATGCAGTTCCGGGCTTACGTTGTCAGGAAGGGGTTGAGGGTTCATGTTTAAGCTTACGGCTGACGGCTCAAGGAGTGTTATTCCGGCTTAGGGGCGACATGGTTCCCTGATGTTTTGAACTGCGCAAGACATTGAGTGACTTGCCCCGGGGATGCTTCAGCATTTTGGACCGGGGTTTAGGGTTTGGATGGAGTTTGAGGTTTCGGATTTTGTGTTTAGGGTTTTGAGTTTAGGGGTTTCGCTTTGGTCCACCCCGCGATGCAAGGCGGTGGAGAATAAGAGCAGTAGCTGGTAGCCGGGCGACGGGTGTGCTGCGGGGATGAAAGAAGGGACCTTGCATCCGGGCATCTTGCTCCAGCCGATTTTTGAATCTCAAATCCGCAGCCCTGTAAGTCACCAAGCCAAGTAGCCCAAAACACTCAAGACTTTTGACCCTAAACCCCAAAAGCCCGCGAGCTCAACACTGCAGCCGTTTGTTTTGGGAGCCCCAAGCAGCTCGAAGGCCTGTCATAGAGTGTGAAGACAGAGGGCTTTCGGATGCCAAACTCCTCCCAGCGCTTTCCAACCCAGGCTGCGAGAGCTGGCATTGAAGTACTTCGCAGGCGCAGAGTCGAGGCGCACGTGCTCTTACTGGGAGATCTTCTGAACCGAGCGTCCCAAGGTTTAAAGCTGGCTATATGATACGTGAGACATGTATGGTTCTTCGTCAAGATAAACGATGCAGTGTCTGACGGCCGGACAGTTTCTCAAAACTCGTTTGAAGGGTTGAGGTTGAGGGGTTCACGGTTTAGGGCTTGCGGGGGATCACTTTAACTGTTCAGGTGTTCAAGGTTTAATTCGCATTTTCTCGTGGAGTTTTAGGATCTATGTTCTGGGGCTTGTGGACCTTCTGCTAATCTACCGCAGCCTACATTTATGTGCTGACATTTACATCGGCACCCTACTAATACCAAAAGGGTAGGGTATGGTAGGCGCAGCAATTGAAGTAGTAACCCTCCCGAGCCTGACTCCTAAGTCCGGACCCTAAACAGCCCTTTAGCCCAACGACGCCCGGAAGCTGAGCCAAAGTCTCTCTGTGGAGGCTGCGCGATGCACAGTTCTCCCCGTTTTATGCCAGCGAGGCCTCCGTGACCTGATCTCTTCCCCAAGCCGGACCATCAAGCCCTGAACCCCAAAGCCCTATAAACCCTAGCAATGACAACGACTGGGAGTCGGGTCTCAGCTAGTTCCAGTTCAGAGATTCGCTGTTCTTCTTGTAGGGTTTGTTAATCTAACACGTAAGAACCCTCAAACCGATAAATCCTTTCGGAACCCTTAAGTTGCGGCAGCTTGAGTTCAGCTCCTGGGAGGATTTGCTTGTCAGGGCTTGAGGATGATCGAGGGCCAGGGCTTTGGGTTTAATTTAAGGTGTTAGGGTTTTGAGGGTTTTTGCAGATCGGCAGAGTTTAGGATCATCGAGATTGGGGTCATGTTGGCTTTTGTTGGTCTTGGGTTTCAGGCAGAGACGCTGATGTTTCGGCTTGTCCAGGAAAGAGCATGCCCTTAACACTCAAAAGCCTCCCGAATGTCAAATCCGTGCCAAAGACGCGTCGTTCACAAGACTGCTGAAGATCAGCTATCGCATGGCTCGAAGAACGAAGGAGCGTCAGGAGCCTTCCGAAGAGGGTAAGGAGCCGTCCCAACAGGGCGAACCCTTTGAGAGGCAACTAACATGACGTAGCGAATCCTGGAGTCAACGTGGTTAGAGTCATGCAGCTAACGCGGAGAGCACGGACTATGCAGAGAGTTCACGACCAGAATCATGAAACTTTACTTGTAGCCCTGACTTCGGGATGTTGGCCACTCCGGGCGTTGGGGTTGGCCTGCATCCACATGTGCCGAGCCATCGCCGGTTTTGGCGCTTTTGGTCCCCGCCAGAGCACTGCACGCAGGACCTGAGTTTGGGAGTGGAGCTCCTCCCCTAGTTAAGGGCCTCAAAATACAAGGATGCCTGCTATACTGCAAGGTTAATAAGTAGGGAGTCCCAAGAGCATACGCCTTTCTGACTCCTTTCAACAACCCGGAGAAAGATGGCTGTGGGTGCATTCGTTATTTCTCGGTTGAGGCATGTTCCGGCAGTTTTCTCCCCATGGTCCCAAGTATGTTTGCTGCGATCCGGAAAATCCGACGTAGTGGGCGCAGCATGGCTGCGTCCTCCTCCCGTGGTCTCCATAGTGCTTTGCCAGGCCTACACCCATCCTCACTGTTCAAAGGCTGTTGAGAGATGTTGGCATTTTATATCAAACAAACGGTTTGATGGCTTGGGGCCAGGGCTTACGAGCACTGCTACGTTGTTCCTGTAGACCCCTGATACTTTGAATAGGTTTCGGGGTAATACGGCATACTGTAATAGCACAAGTGTGCAGGGACACTACAAGGGATACTATATTACAAACGAAACATTTACAGACTATGCATCCTTGGGTTGGCGAAGCGTCCCTAAGCTGTCTTCTCCTTGTAACGTTCGTGGAAATGAGCTGAACGCGGCCTTATCTAGGATGCACAGCGCTATGTTCTGTGTCTAAGTGGCCCTCACCCCCCCACCCTCCACCCGAAGCCCCGACCGCCATTGGTCGACGCCCAAAACGCTCTCTGAACCCCAAGGTCGAACGTTAACCTGACTTCTAGCCCTAGTGAACGCTATGAGGAGCCCACAGCAAAACATTGCTTTCTCAGCTGACGGGGCCCTTCCTTTCCTGGGCCTGAAGAGGGTTTCCGCAGTATTTTGCAAATCTTACTTATGTGATATGCGGTCACGACGCATCAGGGCTGGCAAGGGGGGGGGTTCCATTTACGCTGTGCTTGCTTCCTTACATCGCCCAGGATCTGGCGAGCGTCTTTTGCTGCGCATGTATCTGGTCGTTTACTGTACGAGTTTATCCAGAGGGTCCACACAGGGTTTGAGGTTTGGTTCAGGGTTAGGGTTGAGGCTTCGAGAGCTTTCCGAATGTCAGAGCTGCACTTGGCCTAGATTCCCCGGCTGTCACCTGAAGGGGGTACCAGTCGGAACAACCAAAGCGACGAGAAATGAAAAAACAAATCTCAGTTTGAAGAAGTACCCATCCAGCTCTAGCGACTCTAGCGGCCCAGGCGTCATGAATGCATACAGAGTTGTTTTCAAAGCCCAGGCATCGTGCATCACCGCCAGAGTCGTCGAACGGTGGCCATGGCTCCCCAGAAAGCCGCCGGTGAGGCGTGCTGGTCTACTCTAGCCGATGAGCATCGCGTGGGGACCTGGGACCCCTCTGGAACTCCTGACCACCTTCGCATGGAAAGGGCTTGAGTTGTTGAGTTGAGGTTTTGGGGCTTTGGGTATATCATCGCATGCACAGGGACCCTGCGAGGACCGAAAGTCGGTCCTCGCAGTTCAAGGTCTAGGGCTTAGAGAGCCATTGCCCAAAGTCCTCTGCAGGTCCAGATAGAGACGGATCGCCAGAAGCAGCTGCGAGCAATGGGGGCTGCTGTGTCTGAATTTGAGGAGTCGTGATCACTCAAAACCCGTCCCACAGCCGCAACCCGAAACTCCAACGCATGTTTGGATGTTGGCCTGAAGCACAAGAGTGCTGAAAAACGAGGGTGCGGGGTTCGTGCAAGCCCCAAACAGTCACTTCTGCGAAGCTCAAGGTGGCAGTGTTGCTTTGTGGCGCCAGTGGGTGCTTTCACACTTTGCCGGTGCTTCCCGGCCTTCTCAGGCTCTGGGCTTTTTTGCCAGTCTTTCGCGAAGAGGGGATTGCTCATGGTCTGTCGCTGCTCGTGCGTCCTTGCACGATAAACCCAGAGTCCGAACCCCAAGGACCCAAAAAGGCCGTCAACAACCCCCTTTAAAAGGAACCGTTCAAGGAATCCTAAACCCCAAGCCCTGGCTCCTCAGCCATGAACCCCAAACCTTTAAACGCTGAAACCGTGAACCTTTTGAGCACGTAAACCCCTAACTCCAAGCGTCAAAGCCGATCCCTATCCGATACAGCGTCCAGAGCCGGTAAGGTTTATTGACAGCAAGCTTGCAGCCGATCCACAGCTGCCCGGCCTCACCGCCGCCACGTTGCCCTGGAGCCCGTTGAAATAAGGGGCTCTCGCGTTTTTGCGTGTCAGTTTTCGGTTCAAGTTTTCTGTCGATGCTTTAGAGCGAATGGTCTAGAGTCTCGAGTTATGGTTTCAGGGGTTTGGGTCTGGCGTTCAGGGTGTCGATGTCTAGTGTCTAGAGACCCTATACGGTTTACGGTTGAAGGAGCTGCATAGAGTTTTCCACACTGGGCTTCATGGGTTATGGTTCTTAGTTGCTTTGGAAGGTGGTTGTTTTATCCTGGATTGCTGGCTGTCATACATTCACAGTTTTCTACAGATGGATTTATCAGAAGAGGTCTTGAGTCTTCAAGTAAGGTTTGAGAACTGTGCCATCTCGCACACCCAAGGCTCTGGCGCCAGGAAGCCCTCAACAGCAAAACATTAAAGGCTCAACGCCTAAAGCTATGCAGCCTTCGGATTCAGGGCCTAGAAGCCACAAGCAAAAGCCTTCGCCGGCCCTGGAGCCCAAAACAAAGCACCAGAGAGAGGAGCGCCACCGCGCTGTTTGCCGGCTGGCTCGCGGGCTCTGTGACACTCCGTCAGGCGATCAGGGCCGATTTTGAGCCTATGTGGCTTTGCGCGGAGGTTAAAGATTTGACTTTGAGGATCTGGGTGCCGAGTATAGCGGGCTTCATGTATTGGCTGCTCTGAGACATCAGGTTTTTCGCGTGAGTTGAGGTTCTGTCGGGAGGCTTAGGGTATCGAGCTGAAGCTGTATGCTGCACAGCTTACAAGCCTTCATACAAGATTCCGGGTGTGGGGCTTTACTTTAGGTTCGGGTCGCATACGGTTGGGATGCAGCTGGGAACCGAGCTCCCGGTGGGCCGGGAGGTACAGATGGATGGAAGTTTCCTTGAAGATGCCCGAAACGAAGCCTAAAACCTAAACCCGACTCTTAACTCCGGAAGGCTCCATTAACCAAGTTCAACTCTAGACTTATATCCCAGATCCCAAACTATTCGCCCTGAACCTGAACTTCATAACTCAATGGTCTTGGTTTAGGCCCACGCCCGAGTGTCGTCCAGGCCCTTGAGGTCTTTTCCAAAGCTCAGTTCCTCGCGGCCTCCTCTGTTGGTTTGCTGCTGTGCACGCTGGCTACGGCCACACGGCTAATAAGAGGCTTGAACGGCTAGCAGCAGCACGTGTGCCCTTTAGGTCCTTATGTCCCTATGTACAATATAATGCACACGAGCGCCACATGCAAATGATTCTTAAGAGTCTGCAGGATTCCGGGTCTCAGCCGAGTTTGCTGGTTCTCGGTGCCAATGGAGGGCTCCAGGAGGAACCAACCGGAGCCTAATCTGTCGCTAATGTACATCAGAACACTACCGAACAGTTAGGTTCCTGTGAGTAAGGATGTAGGGTTTAACATTGACCCGAGACATTGGGTGAAGGGCTTTCAGCGACCACGGTCTAAGACTAGGGCTTTGGGTTTTGGGTTCAAACAGGGCTTAGGGGTTCTAGCCACTTGAGGTCACCCTTCCCCACCTTACGGGTGGCAGCATCTACGTGCTTTCTGCCGTGCGCTTTGTCACCGGCCACTTGTCAAGTCAGGACACCCGCTGGCCCCCCTACGGCATCCTCACGAGAAGCGTTGAGTAGGAGCCTGGCAAAATGCGGAAATCTCAGAGAGCCTCTGCCTTCAACCCCGAAGCCCTCAACCCTCAAGAAGGACCCTCGGCACAGCCAGGCCTCCTGTTTGCTACTGGCCCGGTCGGTAATCTTTATGTTCAAGACTGCTTGCCAGCCAGCCAGCGCAATCAGGCTTGTGTGAGAGTTTTGTGAGGGCTTGAGGTTGTAGCATTTGCACTTAGGGGCTTTGGGGTTTTCTAATTTAGGATCGTATCAGGGTTTGTCAGGTTGGGGGTTTAGAACTTGGACTTCAGGCTTTGGGTTTTGCTAGCGCATCGCTTGCAATACAGGGTTACGCGAGGCAGAGGGCTTGGGTGAGTGTTTGGAAGGTAGGATTTGTCTAGGGATTTGGAGTGTAGGTTTCTGGCGTCCTTAAATGGGAGACGAATAATTAACGAAAGGAAAAACCTCGTAGTAATCTGCCAAGCAGCATGTCTAGTGTCGTTCTTAGCATTCTTCTTATTCGTTTCTGAAACCACTAGTGTAGACCCTTATAGATATACCGCCGCGTTTATGGGTCTGATACAGGATCTGATATTCGGGCCCTGTGGGAGGGGGGGTCTCCACTTATCTGTCTTTTCGGAAAAGCCGAAAGGTTCAGTGCAGCGTTGTCCCATGCGTGCTGACTCGGAGCGTATCACACTGGAGAATCCCCAACTCACTTGTCCAAAGCGTTTTATGTTGGGTGGATATGTTAGTTATGTCGGTGTTTCTATTGTAGCTAAGACCCTAACCAGAATTATAGGTACGGCTTTGGCCTTATTGCACTTGTGCCCGGGAATTCGAGTGGTGCCCTGTTAGACGAAACAGGGTTTCCTGGTTCAAAATATTCCTCCTCCTCCTCCTCCTCGTCCCCATCCTCCCACCAATATCACCACCACCACTGCTGCTGCTGCTACTACTGCTGCTGCTGCTACTACTACTACTACTACTACTACTACTACGACTACGACTACGACTACGACTACGACTACGACGACTACTACGACTACTACTACTACTAC